AGGTTAACTTAGAAGAAAACAGCACAAGAAGCAGGGAGTCATATGGGAAATTAATCCAATCCTGATGAGAGATATTGAGAATCTGTACTAAGGTGTAAGTGAGTATGGAAAGATTATAACATTACAGAAGTAAAAATGGTGTGCCATGTTAGCCAACTACAAGTAGGAGGGGAAAGAGACAATTTGGAGTCTTTGATGGGAAAGAACTTGGGCTATCTCATTAACAGAAAATAGGCAAACAAAGCTAAAGACTGAGCTAGATATAACCTGTTTAGAGATTAATACAAACCAAGGGGGACAATGTATGAATCTTATTTCAGTAAAGCAAATTATTCCCTTAGTAAACACAATAGACTATGATATGTAAAGTAGAGTATGCAAAAATACCCAAAATTAAGAGTGCAAGTTGAAAATTAGTACATTTGTAATAGACATAGGTACTAGAACAAGTCATATTTTTATTAAATATACATATTAAGCCTCAGCATGTTAATGCTAGGAATATACTGTATGCTAAAGTAATGTTTAACAATCTCAGAAAAATATGCAATAAATCAGTAGCAAAATGAAGCTAAGTATCAGCAGAAGAGAACAATTGATCTATCACACATATCACAATCATTTAGGTCAGTTAGGTAAGTCTGCAATGATCAATTTCTCCTGATTAAATAAAACCCATGTGCCTAATTTGGGAGCTCATCTGCACCAATGCCTCATCAAAGGAGACACAAAAGTTTAACTGAACTGTTGGTTAAATTAAAAAGAAGTAACCTACCAACTTAGCTTCTGGAATATGAAACTTTTCATTCAAAGTTTCAAAGGCAGGGCTGAAGGGCACCAAAGTTTTGCCACCCCAAAATAATGCCTTTTAGATACTGATTTTGGGTTGGTTGTTAGGAAACAAAAGATTCAGAAAGAACTTGTGACCCTCCCTCTACCTGTCTAAAGGAATTCAGATAGAAAACCCTGCTTAAAGGAAAGACCGTCTTAGCATCATACTGTGAAGTAAATGTGGCAGAGAGAGAGATATCTAGTAAAGCCTGTTTATTGCACTTCCCTCTGGGTAATGCTGTTTTTGAGTGGCTCAGAAAGAATTTTACATGTCCACTCTCCCATCTACTTGTAAACTACCTATTTTCCCTTGGAAATCCCAGCCCCCTCCTAACCCCACCACTCCATTCTCCTTTGTCGGAAAATAGCATATAAACCTCAACTGAATTTCCTTATGGCACCCCCCTCAGGAAGTCCTGTAATTTTGGACATTTTCTATTTTAAAAAACAAATGAGTAAACAAAAAACAACCATGTAGTCTTTCTGCCTACCACTTAACAAGTAAAAAAGTATGCGCTCCTTCAGGGCAGGGTTTATGTTTAGACACCCCGTGGCCCCAGTGCTCAGATTTCAGGAGGCCCCCAACAGATCTCTGATAAAAGGAATAAATGCAAAGAAATCAACCAAGGAATGTTTTTCAAGTATACAGCACTTTCATAACTTGGTGCGTATTACACAACAGCACAGAGCTATGATCCAGTATTTGAGTGCCTACTATTCAACAGGTAATGAAGTTACAAAATGAGTAACACATGACTCCTCCCTGCAACTTAGAATTTATTTCTCTTAACAAGTCTAACACTGAAAGGTTTCACCAGAAAACCTTGATTTGCCTTATTTGTGCGACCATATATGAGTCTCTCTGTTTTCTCATGTGAAAAACAGATGGAGTCAAAAGAGGAAATGTGAGAGTGCCCTGTAAAGTATCACAAGTATAATGAATGCCAGTTGGCTCCCCACATGACTCGCCAAACTCTGATCAGACACTGCGTTAAAAATGACACTGACATATCCAAGTATCCTCCTGGCTTAACACAAAGCCATTATCCTACCATAACATGAAAAAAATCCTCAAAACAGTGTCTTAATATGAGGACAATATAATCTTGAGAAAGTTGATTTATAAACTTTCACTAGACATTTTTTAAAATTAAAGTAAATTTTAAGATTTATTATTAGAGAAAGAGAAAAGGGAGGGAGGGAGCAAGTGGGAGAGAGAGAAAGGAAACATCAACTTGCTGCCTCAATGGCTGCTTCTTGCATGTGCCGACCAGGGAAAAAGCCTGCATCTTCGGTGAGTCAGAACATGCTCCAACCAACTGAGCTCCCCAGCCAGGGCTTAAACATCCATGTTTTAATTTATCTGAGTTTCGTTGGAAAATTCCTACCGTCATTCAAGACAGAACACTATTAAAATCTGAACTTTAAAAATTTTATTGCTGAATAAAACAATGCAACTACTTTTGGGAAATGTCTCCTCCACATCTCAAATGAGAACAGAATCCTAAAGTTTCAAAACTTTGAACTTTTGAAATACACTAATAAACAAATTTGGAGGAAAAACTAATACTATTCTATTATATCAACCGAACAAATCCAGCTTTTAACTGCACAATATGCTCCCTGGAAGACATGTGATATAACCATAGCACTGTTATTTTTATCCACCTAAATTAATCCTTATAAGACAATAAAATGAATCATTTGAGCAAACATTTCTTCACTGAATACGCTAATCAACACCACACCTTCAAAGTAGGCAAGTTAAAAAACACACAAAAAACTAAAAAGCTTCCCTCTAAAATACAAGATTCTGTCAAGATGCTTTCTGAGCTGAATGTGATGGCACCTATTTCAACTTAATTACCTAAAAATGATGTACAGCATGAAAAGGCATCACATTTACTTGTATGTGGAATTTACATAGCAAGGAAACCTTTATCGTATAGACCTTGGATTTATCTTTTGATGGTCTTACATATATCATCTACTGCTCCTTTCATTTAATTCATGGAAAATTAATAAGGAGGCCTAAAGAATGAAAGATTTGAAACTATTTTCCTGAAACTGTTCTTCTGTTGCTTGGACAACACAAGATGTTCCTATATAACAGACTCATCCACAAAGAAATCCTCTAGCAATCAAGATTTTGAAGATTCTGTATTCAAAATTTGCATTCGTAAATGCTTTCTTACCTTCTGCTACATCATCATCTACTGCTCCTTTCACCTGAGAAAAACACCACTGAATATCATTCCCTCCTCCAGCTCCTGGAAAAAAGAACACATACTGATTAAAACTGAGTTCTGTTCGTGTTTACGCTACTAAACACTGAGATGGTATCCACGGCTGGCATGACACTAATAGCCCAGTACTGCCCACATACCCAACCACCACCCAGAGCACTGATTGGGAAAAGGTTAGTCCCTGACAGTTGGTACTGCTTTAGGAAAAAAAGAGACTTGGGTATAAAGAATTAAAAGGCCATGTACTGTCACTAACATTGTACAATGTGTTCAAAAGTTCCCTTCCCCTCCAATACTGACTGGTAGATCTTGCTTAAATGTAAGGGAAAAAAGCAAATAGCCAAAGTTAGTTTTTCTCTAAGTGTACAAGAAGTCTGCAGAAGAATGAGTAAGGTTAAAACTACCATAAAACATGGAACGAGTGGAAAACTTCAAGGAACATCACTGCATGGTGGAGTAGGAGCCCTATCACCATAGAGAGCAAACGCAACACTGGCCACCCACTTCTTGCACTGGATTGCCAGGAAATCACTGGCTCCAGAGGGAAAAAGCTGGTGGAAAGATTCTCAAAGGAAGCCTGTTTGGCCTCTCTTCACCATGCCCCTCAAATTCCAAAGGATCTTGCAAAGAATTAATTTTGCTCATTTGTCATCATCTTGAGCAAAACAACTTTAATTTTACTTAATTACCCAAAGAGCAACTTGTTTATAGCAAACCAGAAGTCAATCCAACCTGTTAACTCTTTCAAGGGTTTAATTATCTATCTATTAAAATAATCCAAGAAAACTGGTTTGGTCCCTGAATGTTTCTATTTCAGGTCTAAATAAATACTCGAAGAGGAAATGTCTATGGAGAAACTGAACCTAGCTCTAGAATGAAGTCTACTGGATGAAGATATTCAGCCACACCAAAATGTACAAAAGGAATCCTCGAAGCAAAATTACCTTTCTCTTCCTTCACTTCGATTCTTTGCTAAATATTCAAACCTGTTTTTCCCCTATGCATCATTCCCTCCCCCCCTTCCCAAGCTTTTTACCTAAAAATCTCTTCCCTCTTGGCTATTTATATCACTGAACTCCACAACTATTTTAACTCAATTGAAAGCCTTTTGGGAAAAGGACATCTGCACAAAAGCTAACGTGCAAAACGGAAAGTTGAAATCACATTTTTTCATGCAACTTGCCGTCTTAAAGGCCTTGCACTCTTTGGACGTCAAGGGTAAGAAACGAAAAGGAGATGGTTGGAGACACGGAGACACACACACACACACACACACACACAAAACAACTCAGGTTAATGGTCTCAAAAATATACGTGCCTACCGGGGAAGGAGGGGGGGGCACATTGCATTTTAACTTGTAAAAGCACTTTTCCTTCCCAGTGCAAAATATATTTGTACAAAACACCCAAGAAGCCTTGCATGCAGGGGGAGCACAGTCATTAAATGAAGGAAGATCCGCCAAAAAGTGCGGGGAGAGGGTGGCACGGGGTTCCACCCGGCGCCGGAGCAGGAGGGGCGGGTCGGCCCGCGCCCCCACCGCGCCCCACCCACGCCGCTCCCCGCAGCTCGCCGGCGCGCACCCCACCCCCACCCACGCCGGGGCTCAGCCCTCGGTTTTTAAAAGCCAATTCGACACATCGCAGCGCCCGCCGGCCGCGCGGGGCCCTGTCCGCCCCGCCGCGCCGCACCCCGCCCGGCCGGTCCCCCGAAACCCGCGGCGCCCGCGGCTCTCCCAGAGGCTCGGCGGTCGCTAGGGGGGGACGGAGGGAGGAGGAAGGAAGCGGAGCCTTGTCAGCGGCCGAGGGTGATTTCTCCTTTACCTGCCATGTTGCGCTGCAAATGGTGACCCTGCCGGGTGCCTCGGGGTCTCCGCTTCCTGAACTCACCCCCCTCACCTGGGGATGGGGGGGTAGAGAGGGCGGATGGCGGCGGATGGCACCTGTGGGGGCCGGGGGCGGGGGGCCGGGGAGCAGGAAGGCGGGGCGGGCCGACGAGCCGGCAGGATGGTGGGTTTCACTCCGGGGCTTCCCCGTCCTTGCTCTTCCTCCTGCAGCGGCGGCGGCGGCTACGACAAGCGACGGCGGGCGGCAGCGGCAGGAGCAGGCGACTCCACTTTCAAAATGGCGCCGGCTGGCCTGGGCAGTGACGTCACCGGGGGCGTGGTCTCCGGGCGTGGCCGGGGGCGGGGCGAGGCGGGGAGCGGCCCGGCGGCCTCCTGGCCCCGCCCCTTCCTCTCCGCGGGGCCGCCTGGTCCCACCGTCCGGTCCTGCGCCGCGCCCGGGCCCGCGCTGGGGACCGTGGACCGGGGATCGGGGTCCGGGCATCTGCCCTCTTTCGGCGCCCGGTGCGCGCTCCTCTCGGCCCAGCTCCCCGGCCCCGGCCCCCCAGCCCTCGCGCCGGTGCCGGACCCTGGGGCGGCGCCGCTCTCCCGAAAAAGTCCCCGCTCGCAGGGGTTTATGCGGGCCTGGGTCTTTTTAGCGAATACCCGTTTTGCTCCTTAAAATAGTGCCCCTGTGGGTTGGTCCTGAGGCGGGGGTGGGGGGGGCGGATTGGGGAGAGGGGAAAGGGATTGGGGTGCAAACTCTGCGCGGCCAAGGTGAAAGTTCGCGGAGCTGGGAGGGCGTCGCTGAGCCGGTTCCATGGGGGTGACCCGGAAACTGCGGCGACGGCCCTTGGCGACGGGACGCGGTTCAGTATGGTTTCCGAACAGCAAGCTGAGTTTGCCGGTCGCCGAAGATGGCCGGGAAAGAGGCCCAGTTTCTAACACTAAAAGCGTGGAAACAGTGGTGAAGAGTCAGGCTGCCAAACACTGGCTCCACACATGATGGCCATTCCATTCTTTCTACCTTATAGGACCGTTTCCAAGATGAAATTACTTAATTGGAGTGCATGGTAAATGCTAACTGCTAAGTTATGATCAGATGTGTACGGAAAGCATCTTCTATGGAGTGAAGAGGTGTAAAGAAAAAGTAAACAGGAAACCAGTCACCAGCCAAGAAGGGATGTGCACTTCATTGAAAGATGTATTCGTGGTGCAGTCATGAAAGATGGTTGTACATGTCAGTCTCCACAATACTCTTATGTAGGGGTGTCGAACTCAATCAGAGAAGGGGCCAAAATCTAAAATCCAGCCTAAATCGCTGGCCGAATGGTTTACTGAACAGTCATAAACTGTCATTGTGATGGAAACGCAGCGGAGTGCAGTGATGACAGTGCGGTGCGGGCCACATTGCAAGGCCTGGCGGGACGGATTTGGCCCGCGGGCCTTGTGTTTGACACATGTGCTCTTATGAGATAGGGGTCCACATGTTCCCCATGAAAAACACCTGCAAAAAAATACCTAAGACTTTGACCTTAACCTCCTGTCCATCATTTCCATTCTCTATCTCAGTGTTTTTCAACCTTTTTTGGGCAAAGGCACACTTGTTTCATGAAAAAAATCACGAGGCACACCACCATTAGAAAGTGTTAAAAAATTTAACTCTGTGCCTATATTGACTATATATAAAGTAATTCTCTTGAATAGGAATCAAATAAACACAAAGAAAGTATTTTATAATTACTTTATTATGAAATATTAAGTAAACAAAATAGTGAAAAATTATAAAATTCTTGTCTTGTCTGCACCTACGGCACACCAGGCAACATCTGTGCCGCGGAACAGCGGTTGAAAAACGCTGCTCTATCTTAATCTTCATCTCCAGAAAGTTGAATTGTACAAGTTTCAGAATTCCTCCGCGATGGAACAGCTGCACCGTTGTGTTTACTGTGCCTCCATTTCTACATTAAAAATGTTCACTTTACCAATGGACACACCAAAATTAAAAATTCACCCTCTATCTCATCTTTCAGCTGCGTGTACAAACAGGTATAAACCTTCAATGCACACTGCTGTATTTCTGTTTTGGTTGCTTTCATAGATGTGCTTCTCTGCATATGTCTTTACTATCTTTTCCTTTTCACTGGGAGGGCTCGCCACCTTAACCAGAACTCAGAAAAGAATGAGAGAAGAGAGAGAGAACGGACCATTAAACTGGGGACTGGCACCCCAATATGCAAATCATTTTTCTTAGGCTTCGGTTTTTGCCATATGCAAGATTTGAATCGTCACACATCCTGAAAAACGACTTGGTCTACATAAATTATTTGTTCTTAGAAGCCATTAAAGCTTGTCTAACATGGTGATAATTATAACAAGAGTTCCTAGAGCATGGAGAATGTCCTGAGCACTTTTCTAAGAACATCGCATAGAGTCATGAGCTGAGCTGAGCTGAGATGGGCCTAATTATCAAAGGTCTGGGACCCAGCTACAAGTGACCCGGCACCTTTGGCCCTGAGCGGTCATTTCAGCGGACCATAAACTGCCTTCCTTTCTTCCAGATGGCTCTTAGGAAGAGAGGTCAGCACACCCACTAGCCCAGAGGCAAGGGTTGCTCTTGTTTATCTCCTCTTCCTTATCTTACATTCTGTCTGCTATTCTCAGCACTAAGGCTTCTGTCCCTGTCACTTGACTGAAAGGGTTTCTGTCATGGTCATTAACAATCTCCGGGTTACCAAATCTAATGGTTACAGGTACTTCTTTGGTTTTTATCTTTCTCTGCTTCCCAAAGGCATTTGAAATGGCTGGAGATCTAGATTTGGCAGCCACTGGGAAGTCCATGGCATTTGCATGGTAAATATCTGGAAATGGTATATGAGGTTATCTGGAAGAGTGAGAAGGGGACCCAGCACAGAGGCCAAGAAGACGGATCATACTAGTATTAAGAGGGTGGTCGGGGAGGAGAAGCCAACAAAGGAAGCTGAGAGGAATGGCTAAAAAAGGTTGGAAGGAAACCAATCATGGGTCAAGGGGAAAAAGGGTCTCCATGGGGATGTGGTGATCAGCCATTTCTCTCTAGGCAGATAGAACTGTTGAGTGGGAGGAGTGGGGGTGGGAGAGGGGGAGTGATTTGTCTAGGAAAGATCATGAACTCAAGGGTAAAAAGAGTCCCTGAGTAGAACAACACAGTTTAAAAATATTGGCAAACCATACCCATGCTTTCTGACATGGAGCAGGTTCAAGAGCTTCACGGGAAAATTACAAGGATATTTTTATGTACTTTCTTCAAATCTACAGGCTTGGCCAGGAAGGCCGTTTCCCAAAACTCTGCAAAATCTAGATTACAATGACAATTCACACCACAATGTTCAAAGCGCAGAACTCACTATCAAATCCTACACCAGCAGGTGTTTAAGAAAAACTACAGTGAATCCACCAGGTGGATTATTATGTTGTCGGATGATTGTAAAAACAGAAAAAATTGCTTGTGCTTTAGGAGCAGGATATGAAAAACGAAGATACAATATGATCACAGTATGTACAACAAGTAAACAAAATGTATGGAGCCAAAACAAGACAGGAAGGAAATGTACCAAGGTGTTCCCAGAAATGTTCCTGGCAGTGACACAATAGACATTTTTTTTCTCCTTTTGACATTGGTGTCTCTCCAAATATTGTATAAGTGACATATATTCAGGGAAAAGAATAAACTTATTTTATAAAGTTAATTCTAATGCTGATATTAGAACATGATAATTAAAAAAAATCTACGTTATCGATTTTCCACATTAAGGTAAAAGTTTGTAGTCCATTATAATTGTGATTTAATCCCTGGTTTGACCATAAAACAGGAACATTTTGTTTTGGTCATTTAACAGTGTGCATATGTAAAGATGGAAGAGAGATTGGTAAATTCATACCAATACCTTCTGTTTGTAAATTGCAATCAAAATCTTGCTTGATCTTTCATGGGAGGTTAAAGCCTATAAATATATGAGCTAAACATCTCTTTGGTATATAATAAAATGCAAACTTTGTGAAATTAAACATTATCTCTGAAATCTATCTTCAGTATTCTTACTATTTGGTCATAAATAACCTATAGTGTAGACAAACTGTTATCCAAATAGATAATTTTTGGAAGTATGAGTCTCCTTCCACATTGTAGTTTTTTGGCTGGCATTTGAGTTTAGCTATGACACTGGTATGTGTCTTATGCCTAACCACAGAAATGTATAGGTTCAAGGTTGGAAGGAACTTTAGGTACTAACTAACCCAGTTCTCACATGAAATACTTAAATTCCCTATTCAACATGCCCTTTGGTATTCATACAGCTGCAGCTTCAAAACTTCCATTCTAGCCCGACTAGTTTTGCTCAGTGGTTGAGCATAGACCTTTGAACCAGGAGGTCATGGTTAGATTCCCGTGGGAGTTTAGGGCTCCATCCCCAGTAGGGGGCATGCAGGAGGCAGCCAATTGATGATTCTCATCATTGATCTCTCTCTCTCTCTCCCTCTCTTCCTCTCTGAAATCAATAAAAATATATTTAAAAAATAACTTCCATTCTATATTGAAGTATTAAATGAAAAAGAGTCTAAACTCACATTTATCCATATTTTCTTCACAAATTAAAACATATTTCACTGTTATTGCTTTCTCTTTAAAAAAAAAAAATATTTTTAGTCGAAACCAGTTTGGCTCAGTGGGTAGAGCGTCAGCCTGTGGACTGCAACCGGGTTCAACTCCGGTCAAGGGCATGTGCCTTGGTTGTGGGCACATCCCCAGTGGGGGGTGTGCAGGAGGCAGCTGATAGATGGTTCTCTCTCATCGAAGTTTGTAGCTCTCTATCCCCCTCTCTTCCTCTCTGTAAAAAAATCAATAAAATATATCTTTAAAATATTTTTATTGATTTCAGACAGGAAGGGAGAGGGAGAGACCAAAACATCAATGATGAGAGAGAATCATTGATTGGCTGCCTCCTGCATATCCTGCATTGGGGACTCAAACCAGGACCTCCGGGTTCATAGTTCAACCATCACCACTGAGACAAGACAGCAGGGCCTTTCTCCTCTTACCTTTTCCTAAAGGTGCTCTGCTTTCACTCACAGGCAGCGATGTGATGGAGCCAGCTCTTATTGCTCTCAGAGCTGGTTGTTAAATTTTTAGGAATTTTGCAAGCTGTTTTGTTGGAAAACAGCCATTTTAAAAAATTAAATTTTAAAAACATAATTAAATTGCTTATATTATAAGCAAAGGTAATAAGTACTGAAATCTCATCACTTCCTAATTATTTTCACTACATTTTACTATTTTCTATGCTCTTGAGGTTCTTTACATGTGTTGTATCTGTGTGATCGAAATTGGCCACGATGGGAATATTTATACCTCAGAAATTAGCAAATACTAGAAGCCAGTGCTCCCTCCCAAAAGTCTGAATGCCCCTCCCTACCTCCCCTCTGCAAAACAACTGGTTGTTAAACATTTGCCAGCACATCACTGCCCGGGAATTTATGGCCTTCCACACAAGCAAATCTCTGCCCTACTGTTATGCTCTGCTTCCCTTCCTAATCAGCTTATTTTTATCCTCAAACATGTCTTCCCATTGACATGGTCCAGTTATGATGACCCTCATCTCCATGATGAGTCTGAACGTTTTATTTTACATTTTCAGTTTAGGATGTTTACTAAAATATGCCTGTACCTTGGATGTGAACCTTCTTTTCTATTGAGTGGCAAAATGGTCATGCTAGAAGGAATGAAGCCTGACCAATCAATATCAAATGGAATCTACACTTACAAATCAAGGTTGCTTTTGAGTGAGGATTGGCTGGCCATGCTCAATGTTGTTATTCATTTCTAACCTCACTGCCAGTCGTATAGCTCCCATAGTTCCCCCACCAAAAGTCAGTCCACAACTCTGCTCCAATGTTTGATAATGCATTTTAGGACTTACATAAGCATCCCCCCCCCCCCCCTCGTGCTTACTGTGGATATCCATTACATTAGGTTCATTGTATCTTGCCATTATCCTCTCCCCCCTCTAGCTCAGGGCATTCTGTAGCAAGCCATGAGAAACTCTTTTGTGCTAATGGTTCCTCCAAGCCTCAAGGCTGGAGATTCTACCCTGTCCCTGATTATCCCACTGGACTAATTGACAATACTGATGACACAGTGTTTCCGAGAGCCCTTACTTTCACACATTTCCTTCCTTACACACATTTTTTAGCCAGGGAACCCTCAACCCTGAATACTAGAT